CGGGCTGTCCGCGCCGGCTGCTACGCGGGCCGTGCGTTGCCCAGGACCTGCCCTTTGGGTGCCCGGCTGGCTTTGCGCCCCGCCACACTCCCCTCTTTGCTCACGTTTTTACCGTGTTTTTTACTGTACCTTTTTATCATTGTCGCGGTCACCCAAGTGCAGGCACGTGTTATTTAATATTGTTCCTGTGACTTTGACTGTCGTGATCAGGCGTAGGAATATTCCACGTCCAAAATAGTGAGTTAGAAAACGAAATGTTTATCTTTTAAAGCCAAGAGATGCTATTAAATAATTTAATCTGGGCATCTCACAGCATTAGCTTCTGTGTTGGATCTGCTCCCTTGTGGAACAAGCTTATTAACCTTTGATTTAAAGTATGAAGTATCATACAAAAAAGAGACATCTCTTTGTGAAGACAGGTGAGTGGGGATTCATCACTAGATGGTTGTTCCAGTCACGACATTATATTTGTGGTTAAACTGGAGATAATTTCCCTTCTAGTATGCAAAGTATGTAAAGTACACAAAGTATATAAAGTTGGACCTAAATATAAAGTAGTTTTGTAGAGATTTTATCAAAAAGAGAGTTGATTTTTTTTCCCCTCTCTTTTGAAATGTAGTGTCTCAAGGTAGGGGTAGTAGGGACCCTGGTTTTGTATGCTAATTAATGCTACCTTGCACATGGTGCAGGAGTGGGTGGCATTGGGTGAGTACAGATAATGCCATCTTCTCTCAAGTCCTTGAATAGGCTGTAGTCTGTAAAGGAGATAACCCTCAAGTGGAAACAAAGGTTTTACATAGCTACATACTGGACTGGACTTGGGAAGACACCTCTTTCCAAGACTGCAGTCTAAACTAAGTCATGGTCCTTTTCTTCTCCAGTTTATGCCACTTAAGCTGTAGTGGTAGTCCTGATGTCAGTTTTCTGTGTGGCATGCTGACGTTTGTTGAGATGCCTGAGTGGGGATATAGAATAATGCTAGTAGTCAGTTACACGGGTTTTTTTCAGTGTTGCAGAAATCAGGTAAGACAGGGAAGTGTGAGGTTGAATAGCAGAGCCTGTAAGCTCTGCTGAAAATAGAAAGAGCATGCTGTATGAAAATATTTGCCCAATTAAGGTAGCTTGGACTAATTTGTTATTTTATCCATGGCTCTAGTTTGTTTCATAAACTAGATGTAAAAGTTATTAGTTAGGGGACTGTTAGGAGTGGATTTCCAAAATGTTTTGGGACATTGTCAGTCTTCTGATACTGAGGCTGGAGGATACATCAGTACCTTAAATGCAGTTCCTGAAGCAAACACTTGGCTGTCTGTCACTCCTGCACCCCCTTCCAACTCTGCTGGCAACTTTTCTGCAAGCAGCCAATTTCGCTGACCCTTTGTGGAGAGATAGCAACTTCAGAAACACCTAAGAGGTACATACTTCACAAAACAACTACAGGTTTTATGAAAACAATGGTGTCTTGTTTGAGAAGACTCTTCAGCACTCTTTGTGGCCATGAAGGAGTTCACCTTGCAGAAATGTTAAAAGGGACTGAAGTAGCTGAAGGCTTCATCCAGAGTATGTGCTTTCTATCAATAGGTGAGTAATTTTCCAGTCTCAGATAGCATTAGATACGGTAGGGATATTTTCCTATGGTACTTTAAAATATTTTTCACAGCACAATATGAATTTTTTTTTTTTCTAGTTTTTCTTGTAAGGAAAAAAATAATGGAAGGTCTGGCTAGCCTTTGGTCAAAAATGGTCTTGTTGCCATTTTTAAAACTTAAAGGGCATGCATGTTATTTTTCAAGATAATATCTATTGAGTCTGGTGTTTTTTCTGGGTCATTTTCTCCTGATAGGTTTTGTTTACGTCCTTGGACCACTTCTGTCCAGCAGATTTCTTCTTGTTACTGGTTCCTGCAGCATCCCCAAGATTGCAAAGTATGATGAAAATGTGCTGTGTGAACAGCTGGTATTTTTTGTCCAAAAATGTTTCTTCACTTGGTTAATATTGCAGCTGACATTTATTGTCAATGTGCTTTTTTTTTCAGTCAGGATCCATGTAAGAGGCTAGTGTCAATCACATGATAGGACAGGAATCAGAGAAGGAACTTACGTAGAGTTGATTTTCTGGGTGTTTTGTGTTGTGATGTTGGACGCCGCCTCTCCCTCTATGACATTTGGAAAACACTGTTAAGAAGGCCTCATGTTTCTCTGATGTCTCAGGAGGCTTCTGGAGCTGGGACTGTTTTTGCTGGATCAGCCTGTGGTTGTCCCGGCAGACAGTGGGCTCTGGTGCAGATTCTCTGCTGACTGTGTTTGTATCCCAATTTCAGGGCTCCCTGAGGACACCTCTGGCAGAGATCCCTGTAGGCCACCAGCGTGCTTCAACTATTGAAGCAGCACGTTGGCCTTTTCCTCATCAACTTTGTGTCCCAGCGTTAGACAGGCACAACAGAAAAAAAAGTGGTTTTCCTCTCTGTAAAAGCTCCTGGTTAAGCTTTTAGAGTTGCATGTGGATGGTTTGGAGACAAGGTTGACATGAAATAATATAGTTCAGATCTGTACTTAGTCAAGGTTTTTCCCCTTGCAGCGTTGTCTCACTGAGACGTAAGGTGCATCAGGTGTTAGCTAGCTGGGGACACCGTTGGTGGAAGTGACTGTGTCGCAGGCACTCTTCCTGATCCTAGAGAGGAGTCTTCTATTGCCTTCTCTAGACTTGACCTCCTGCCCACTTGTTGAGGCACCACTGGCTCATGCTTTGTACCGTCACTGTATTTCAGCTTTTCCCTTTATTCTTCTCATCACCTGTCTTCACCTTCCACTCGGATTAATTTAGTTTTTAGAACACATCTTAAACATTACATCATAAAAAGTGTTTAATTGTGCATATGTTTCAGTAAGCTTATGGCTTCCTCTATAGACGCAGCATTTGATGGAGACCACACACAATGTTTTTAGACACAGTACTGGAACAGATGGCAGACTGAAAAATAAGGTGCTTTGCCCAGACATGGGCCTTTGGGGAAAATTCTGCATATTTACTGTCAGCTGTTGAAGTGCCTAGGTTGCAGTTGTATGGGTTTGGAAAGCGTTTTCAGTGCATAAAGCCTTCAGGTCTCTACTGTTGTGCAGAGGGATATTTTTGTGTCATTTTTGTGAATCTAGTAGTAAAAGAGCTTTTGTGGAGCTGATTCATGTATTTTACTCACTATAAATACTTTTTTTTTTCAGATGACTGCAAAATGGACACAGATAATAAACGAAACAAAAAAACTCTTCTAGACCAGCATGGACAGTACCCAATATGGATGAATTCCAGGCAGAGAAAGAAACTAAAGGCACAGCGTGTTAAAGGGAAAAAAAAACCAAAATTGGCAAAAGGCCTAGTCTGGTAAAGTCAGAGTTTTGTAAGAATGTGAATATTCTACTCACAAAATAAATATCCCAAATAAGTACATAGCATTTTTGTGCTTGGCCACCAAGTATAATTTACCATGTTACGTGAACTTTTGAAGAGACTGTTAGGCCAACAAATGATGAAGGCAGTATCAACCTGGTGTCTGCTGAGCTTAAAAAAAAAAATAATTAAAAAAAAAAATATCAAAAGCAAGCTGAGTGCCTTTCAGTAGACTGAACATGGTTATCTGTTTTCTTGAGGGGGAGGGGTTTCATCTTTTATATTATGAATGCTGAAAATGCTAAAGGAAATCCTAAAAATAATGAAACAGTGGCTTTTTTACTTCGGTCTTTGTCAATGTGACTTGTCTTTTAGTAAATTTAACCAAAGGATTCTGTAAACTCGCCATATCCTTTAAATTCTTCTGTAAAACTAATTCTGTTGCACTGATTTGTGTTGCTTTTAGCGTCTGACAATGAAAATGGGCTTTTGACATGTAACTTAAAAGATTAAACAATGAAATCAACACCAAGGCTTCATGAAACTTCTGGAAGTAGAAAGAGTCAGTCTGACTTTAATTCACAAAGAGAAAGTTGGAACAAAGTATTTCACTGCTGTCTGTAACTGAAATATTGTAGTGACTGACTGAAAGTAAAACTGATTCTTTTATTATTACTATGAGACTGCAAATGCACAGATTGGAAATAAAATAATTTTATTTGAGGTGTTTTCCAAGTTAAGTAAAGTAAATGAGAATTTACTTTTCCATATGCATTTTCAGTAACCTTTTGTTCCTCTTGACACGGTACTCATCTATCACGCTTTACGACGTGGGCGTAGCATGAAATACTGCGGGGTTGCCTACAGATGCCATGGCTACGTGATTAGCTACAGTTGGCTGCGTGTTACTCAGCAATAACATGTGATGACAGATACAAGAATTAGTTGCCCTGAAAGCCTGTGTTTTTAAAATGTCTCTCATTTCAAGGATGGAAATAATTACAGTGCTGCTCCTGCAGGATATTGTCCGTTTAAGTACCTTTCCTCAATACAGAGCATAACCTTTGACCAGCTTTGTCTGAGATGGGATCCATGTTTTGTAATTGCCCACAAATTGTGGTAATTGTGATATCTCGAGCATAGGAAACAGGATTTATTCTTTTAAAAGTAATTACACTACCTTATACTGTGTAAAAATCCACTAGGGAGAACTTGATTTGATAGAAAATTCAGTTTCCCTGGAAAAACAAAGTGGGTTTTTAATTACTGTTCTTGTTAGGGGATAAGTATTCTGTTTCTCAGGTAAACAACTATAAAGGTGTTGGAGGAAATATTTCTTTTCACATACATTGATGGTTGATGAGACTTGGTAAGATGTATAGATCAAAGTTTACCAAATTATATGCCATTAATAACTTACGTACTTTAAAAGTATTTCCCTTAAGTTGATAATACCCCTGCTAAGAAAGAGATGTTTCTCTTAATTTTTTTTGTTTTACTAGCTAAAGGAATCTAGATTTCATTATCAAATGTTAGCCTTTAGTACTTCTTTAAAATTGATTAATATAGAAGAAAGTGTTCTTTAAGGTTTGTAATTATGTTTGTCCAGAAATTGAATGAACAGGCAGTTTGAATTTCTTTATTCTTTGAATGATGTAGGCTGTATTTTGCTTAATGTCTGCTTTGAGGAGCCATGGAGGGGAGCTTCTTGGGTTTTAAGTGCTACCAGTTTGGATTTTTTCTTTAGAGCGAGCACTGCTGTTTTTGACGTGCCTGTTTGTAAATGGGATCACCTGCAAGCTGCTGCTGGTGGGGAAGCAGAGTGCTTGTCCTGAGAGGGGATAAGGAGATGGCAGCATACTCCCATAGCAGGCTGCAGTTTCAGGGTTGGTTTATTGTTGTCCTTCAGGTGTGCAACCATACTCTGTGTGTCTCAGCTTCATCAAGGCTGCCACCCCTGTACTTGCCTTACCCTCTTCTCTCTGTTGTTCAGTTCTGCCTCTGCTCCTTCCTGTGGAAGCATAACTGAATACTCTTATTTCTGCTTTTATGACCTAGCCCTGAGCTTTGTTGCACAAATTTATTAGTCTGCTGTCTCTGTGACAGATTTGAATCTCAAACGAGAGGTGGTAGAGGCTGCACTGAATTTTTATTTAGCAGTCGCTTCCTACCAACTGAAACAATACTGGCTGTGTGAGGTATTTCCTTCATAGTGTCCAGAATAAACTCTAGCAGGTTCAATTAAACTATGGATATTTTAAGACATCCTGTTTGATTTTTGAGCTGAAACAGAGGATAAGAAAGGAATAAACCCTGGTCTTTACTGGAAAGTAGCTCTTAGCCTAGTACCAGTGTACTTCAGTGTACGGCAAACACCACAGCTCACTTGGGTAAGGCAGAGCTCCCTGGGCCAGGAAGGATGTCCAGAGCCTGCCTGGGTGGGATCTGCAAGCCAGGCTGAAGGCTTGCTTGTAGGTAGACAGCAGGAACCTGGCTAAATGTGCACCATAACCTCAGAGGCTGGGTCACAGGTGCAGCAGCCAAATTCTACCTTCTAGTATTTCAGCATAACTTATGTTGATGTTGTCATTTTATATTTGGAATTTGCTTTAGATCTGCTTTGAGCAGCTATTTTTTTGAATGTGAATATGGAGTTTTTAGTTGCCATGGAATATGCAATTTACATTGCTGAATGTGAAACGTTCCGTTTGAGCATTTAATGAAAAAAGTAACTTGTCATTTGTGGTTTTTTACAATAGAGAATTAATTTATACCTGTTACATTTTGGCTGAAATGTATGTTCTAAAAGCCTGTGGAGGGATTTTATTTTTAAGAAGTAAGTGCCTCCAAACTGTTCTAATTATATCATGGTTGTTGTTGATTAAACAAGCTGATGAAAGTCTAAAGTGTGTAACTCAAATGGGATTGCCAGATTTGTTTGTTTTTTTTTTAACTGTGCGACTGCTTTGTTGAAACTTGGCACCAGTGTAACTGCCACCTACCTCCAAGGTGTTGGAGTGTCTGCTCTTCACAGACCTATGAAAGGTAGGGGAGATCCTGGAGGCAGTTCTGAACTACAAGCCAAAGCATCAGAACCGAAAAGAATAAAATAGTGCTGTTTTATTGAGATGTTTATGTGTTTAAAATATGCGTGTGTATGCAGTATGAAGAACTGCATTAGCAAATTGCTAAATATCCAGATTGTTGGCAGTTTTCTGAGAAGATGACAATATACAGGACTTGGTTTTAAAGCAAGTTGTTTCAGAAGCTTAAAATAACTGGTGGTAGTGGTGGTACAGTTTCTGAGCTTTCCTGGTAACTTGTTCCTGCCCTGGGACACCTTCTTTTCTGCATTGTGTAGTCAGGTGGATTGGGGAACTAATCTGGCTGAGATACACTAAAAATAATCCTTTTTACTCCATTTTTTTCAGCTGGGTCGATTTACAGCCTTCCTGCACAACAGGCATTGTCAGTAGGAGGCAATACAAGACTGGAAACAAGTAGGTGGAGAAGGCGGCGGGGCCGTGTGAGACCCTCGTGTGGCTTAAGCACTGACCTCACACACCACCTTTTCTCTTACAAGCACTGGTGGCTCTTTGCTGTGTTTTGCCAATGACTAGGCCTAATAGGAATGACACAACCAGCAGGAAGACAAACCAGTAAGGCAACTATTGAAAATAGAAAAGATACTCCATGGACAATCGCTGGGGGTACAAATAAGTCAATTAGTTTGCACGCAATTGACATTAACCCTAACAATCCTAAAAAAGACATCACATGACCAATAGGTGGAATAAAAAGAGAACCAAAGTTTCCCATAGATGGAATGGGAAACAGCCAGGTCAACAGATTAAACACATAAGATAAAGGTAGCCACATGGCCAGCTCTCACCCTCCTAGCCTGCATTTACAAAGGTCCAAGCTGACCCGGGCCCACTTCCAGGAGAGTCGGGAGGCCTTTCCTTAACCAGGAAGCTCTGTGAAGTGCATCCACTTCACAGGCGGATGCTCCTCACTCCCTGCAAGTGGTCCCAGCTTTTATCCCCAAGCAGACACCTGACCTTTGTCAACTCAATGCAGGACCCCTGGGGCTCATTTCCCTTCTGGCTCTCCCTGCAGGGCCGGCCGCACCCTGGGGGGAAGCTATAAGGCAAACTCACCACCTCTGTATGAAGGGCTGTGGGAATCACCCATATGTCAGCCTTAATTCGGGGTTCGAATCCCAGCATTTCAGTAATGCAGCCATTGGGCAGTGCAGTGGTTTGGAGGTGAGGAGAGGATCTGGAGGTTAGGTCAAGCAAATGCATCAAACAGTGATTTTGAAAGTTATTCAATGAGGAGTATAATATTAGAATATCTGAGGCCAGCATTCTTCCTCACAGTCCCTGTGAGGTTTTGCTGTTGTGCTCAGACAATGCAGCCTCTGCTGGCACACGTAGTCAGCTGCGAGCTCCTACAGGTTCTTCCAGATTATCTTGGCTTTATCTGCAGCTGACGCTGTGGTTACAGAGTAGACTGAGTCTAGTCTGAGGATGTCTAGTACTAGGTGGCCACATAATGCAAAGAGTTCCTCTGATACGTGCTCACAACTTCCCTGTTTTATTTTTCAAAAAACCAAAAGTAGCCTGCCTTTATAGAAAGCCTGTATACTGTTTGTGCCATGCTACCTTTTCCTGCTGCAGCCTGAAGAGTCGTGTGGGTTCTGGTGAGTTTAATGGAAGCCGGATGTCTGATCTCTATCAGATTTTTAGTGTGAACTTGTCTGGCACTAGAGATTACAGGACTACAGCCTTAGCATTGCAGAAATCTGAGAGGTGCAAAGAAATCTCTTCCTCTGGGTGACACGGTCTTAATTGAGTTATGGCAGTTGTGGCGATGCTTGGAGTCTGAAGCAATGGCTATGAATTGCTCTCTTCTGGCCAGTGTTTTGCCATCAATTTTAACTTATCTCAGGTTGAGGTTTTGTGGGAGGACTGAGCCATGGGATAGCTCACTGCT